CTTCATCAAACCAACGCTGGACACAAATAGACCACATAGCAATAAGCTATCGTTGGCGTGGGTCGGTAGGAGATTGTCGCTCCTTCTGGAACACGTGCGTAGATACCGACCATGCACTGGTCCGCGCTCGGGTGTGCTTACGACTGAACGGACGTAGGAAACAGCTGGCGGTAAAACCATCACGTCCCCAGCTCGATCAGGAAACTAAATCCGTATTTGAGGAAGAACTAGCTAAACACATATCTGTGTTCGACAGCTGTGCTCACCCTGAAGAAGCTTGGAAAAATATCCAGGCAGCCATAGATACAGCTGTAAAAGCTGTGAATAAGGTAAACCCAAAGGTGAGTAAAAACCACTGGATCTCCACCGCCTCATCCGAACTGATAGATGCTAGAAGACTTATTCCGGCGAGCTCCGAATTCAATGAGGAGCGAAAGCTGCACAAGAGGAAACTTACGAAAAGTCTCCGCAAGGACCGTGAACAGTGGTGGGCGACAAAAGCCAAAGAGATGGAGAAAGCTTTGAGGATAGGCAACACCAGGCAACTCTTTGGACTCATCAGGGAAACGGGTGGGAGAAGACAAATCATTAGTGAGACAATCTCGGAAAAAAATGGCACTATAATTAGCTCCCAGGATAGACGACTGGATCGTTGGAAAGAGCATTATGAGGAGCAGTTTAATTTGCCCACAGCCACGCTCAACCTTCCGAGCATCCAACACCTCCCTGAATGGGATATAGACACAGGTCCTCCGTCACTAACTGAGGTTACTAAAGCTGTCACCAATCTGAAACTAGGCAAAGCAGCGGGACCTGATGGAATGACTCCAGAGGTATTTAAGTACGGTGGAGACAGCTTACTGTCCGGATTAACTGAGGTACTAGGCAGCGTCTGGGAATCAGAAGAAGTCCCATCGGGTTGGTGTAAGTCACTGATTATCCCCATATACAAGAAGGGAGACAAGTCTTCCTGTGATAATCACAGAGGGATTAGCTTGACTAATATAGTATCTAAAGTCTTAGGCTCAATAATCATGCGTAGACTGAGTGGTGCTCGGGAAGCACAAACACGAGAGAGCCAGGCAGGCTTTAGACCAGGAAGAGGGTGTATTGATCATATCTTCACCCTCCGACAGATTCTAGAACATAGGCATTCCTACCGGCGTCCAACAGTCATTATATTTCTTGACCTAAAGGCAGCATTCGACTCTGTCGATCGGGAAGTTCTCTGGAGATGCTTGGCTGTAAAGGGAATTCCGAGAAAATATATTGCACTGATTAAGGCACTCTACTCGTACTCATACAGCCAGGTGAGGGCTTACGGCGAGCTGTCATCTGAACTGGTGTCCGTCAAGGATGCCCATTATCTCCTTTTCTATTCAACTTCATCATAGATGTGTTAATGGACTTAACCCTAGGTGACTTCAGCGACTCAGGGATTGACTTGCTACCGGGAATAATCTCGTTGACTTGGAATATGCAGACGATATAGTCCTTCTAGGCGAAGACGCTGACGAAATGCAGAGTCTTCTAAACACCTTGAGCCGCAATCTACGAATGTTTGGCATGCGATTCGCTCCCGCCAAATGCAAGATGATGTTACAGGACTGGACTACATCGACGCCTAGTTTAAAAATAGGAAGTGAAGTGGTAGAGCACGTTGACCGCTTCACTTATTTGGGAAGTACCATCAGCCCCAACGGGCTGATCTCTGACGAAATCTCAGCACGAATACAAGGGGCTCGTTTCGCATTTGTTAGTTTACGCCGACTCTGGCGTAGACGAGATGTTCGACTATCGACCAAAGGGCGGGTGTACTGCTCATCAGTCCGCTCCGTCCTCCTTTATGGTTGTGAGACCTGGCCACTGAGAGTGGAAGACATGAAAAGACTAGCTGTCTTTGATCATAGGTGCCTGCGTTCTATTTCCCGTGTAAAGTGGCATAATAAGGTGAGCAACATTGAGGTTAGGCGTAGAGTTCTAGGTAAACAGGGGAAATCAATCGACGAAGTCGTGAAGCTACAAAGACTGAGATGGTTAGGACATGTGTTACGTATGCCAAGTCATCGCCTCCCTCGACGAGCAATGTTAGCGGATATAGGGTCAGGCTGGAAAAAAGCTAGCGGCGGTCAAACAAAAACTTGGCATCAGTCAATGAAATCCACAACAGTTGGTCTAAGCCACGTAGGAAGGTGTAGACTTCCAGGCTGGGGTCCTCGGGACGGTAAAAATCTATGGTTGGAAACAATTGGTGACATGGCTCAAAATCGTTCTCAGTGGCGCAGATGCATCCACTCCTTGTGACTTATGATCTCCAATGAAACTGTTTTGTTTTTCTTTATTACTCCTTTGTCTCACACCTCTGCTCACTGTTTCTATTATGCTTTTCTTGTACTTTCTTCTCTTGCTTCGCGTGCTACACGGAATGTGGCGACTTGAACTTCCGCACATTTGTGCAAAGTTCTATGTCGAAAACAGACAGACATACTAGAGAATGGCGCATTAAAGTCATTCATTTTGATGTGGTTTTGTTCTCTGAGCTGGATAGTTGATTTGCGAAGCTTTCATCACCCTACTAGGTGACATCTTCAGCGCATACTTCAATTTATTGAAGTGAGCTTTTAGATTTCCCCACGAGTTTATTAGTCATCTCTCCTGGCCAGTGACCTTGGATGTGATTGGTTGTTTTTGTGTGTTTTTACACCTTCTAGGTTACTTGTATTGGAACTGATAGTTTCTTTGACTTGAACTCTGACCCTTTGTGTGTGAAGTTTCTTTCTTATTGGTTGATAAATTTTGTTTATCTCGATGTGTCTATTGATTGATGATTCACTGAAATGCCAAGCAGCCGTCTAAAAATTCTCTAGCATTCTTGTTATTCCCTCTGTCTAATATCTGAACGTTGTCCCAGTAGGGTGATGAAAGCTTCGCAAATTAACCATCCAGCTCAGAGAACAAAACCACATCAAAATCATCCACCTGAGCTACAAATCTTCTCTATCATATCTAAAGTCAATCATGGACAATAGTTACGAACCCAGTCAACAACTGCTAGAGGTATTTAACAACTTCCATTCGGCAATAAAATTCATTCTTGAAGTGGAAAACGTATCCGAACTCTCCTTTCATGATGTGAAACAAACAACAAGCCTCGAGAGAACGCTAACGGTCAACTAGATCAGTTCACCTGACCTGTACCTGTAGAGCCAGGCACATTGTTAGTTCGACACAGGTCCTGTCCGAAATAGGTCAAGAACACTATCCCGTATGGTTTCAGAAAGGTATCAGAGACTCTGTAAGAAGTACGATAATCAAACCCTATGTCAGCAATCGCTATTCCATTTCAACAAACGCCTTCTCTTTCAAAGTAATCTACAAAGTGAAGAATAACCCGTCAAAGACAGGAAATACGCTTTCATCTCATCTGCGCATTGCAGAAGCCTTAGCCATCCAATAAGGGTAGCCGTAGCTATGCATACGAATGAATATCATTCAACCACTTCTACTACCATCGTAACAACCGTGTAGATTTCTGCTGACTTGGTTTTTGTTTGTTTGGTTTTCTAACTCCTTATAACTCTTGTATCTCTTTAGAACTCTTTGTGGTGAGAGCAGACTGCTAACCAATTGGTAGACAGTAATTTACGTCAATGTCCATGTCACTAATATTGGCCGTGAGAAAATAGGAACAAGGCTGATTCAACAACCAATCACAGCAGACTTAACGTGGGCAAATAAGATCCGCAGATATATGGCTTAAATTTCCGAGAAACCAGAAACAACCAATCAGAAGACTGTGTTTGTCTGCTTGAATAAGCTATAATAATGTACATGAAATATATATAAATACGTGTTGATTTCCGTAATAAAACGATCCGTCCTTGTTTTCTGTTGTTACACTCTTACGTACTTCCATATTTTACTTCCTCTCTGTGCACATCCTGATTGAAAATCATTCTTCAAATTACTCATTTTATTACGTAACTCGAATACACTTATTTGACTCCTTTTGTGCATTGACTAATACCTACAATTATGATTGTGACATTTTATCACTTCTATTACTATCCTCATTCGTGAAAGAGATTCTGCATAAATGATGGTGAAACACATCTCAACGTATAGGCTGATGCGTTCTTTAGAAGGTCATTCACCATGCAGCCAAGTATCCACACTCGTACTCTTATCATAATACCGATCGATACCAAGGTAGCAAAATACTGTCGTCAACCCTGAAGTTGTAACAGGAATATAGAGAATACGATAAAGTACCCTGTCGGAAGGCATGAATGGCGATCATAGCCAGTGGAAGTACACCATGCGTGTCGTCAGTAGAACGCACTGCCTTATTTACACTAGTGAGGGAGTTGACGTCTTTCTTGCCACAAGGAAGATTGTTGGAATGAACCTTTTTGTAATTTGCAGGCTTCGAATGCAAAAGTCATTGCAAACCTTGGCAGAAGATATGTTCACCGCAACTCACGGTTAACAAAAACCTATTCATTCAGTGGATTCTCCCTTTCGCTGACGTCAAGATACCTATCATGACCTACTCCTCAGATGTCCACCATTGACGGCGACTGACTGATGACACCACAAACTGTCGATGAAGGTGATCACCTACCTAAGTAGCTAGTTAGGAAGCAATCAATAATTGATCTGAATCCTCAGCTGACTGTGAATTAAGTGTCGTCAGTAAAAGGTGTTGTTGACAATAGCCTCGTTAATTACGTGTTTTGCTCCCACTGGGCATTAATAACTCTGCAAAAGTCACATACTTTAAGTACACGAGAAGTGTATGAGATTAAAATCGCCAGACCTGAAGTAATTACACTTTATTCATCCAAATATCACTATAAATGCATTACAACAAAGTATCTTTCCAGTGATTTACAAAATAGTCGACAAAATAGAAAAAACAAAGAAAAAGAATTAAAAACTACAAAGTAGAAGAAACGAAAAGTAGGAAAGACAAACTAAACAATCGATTAATTAATTAATCAATCCTTCTTTACATTTGTTTTTTCATCATTTCTAATTGTCGACTTACAATTCTTTCTTACAGTTTTTGACAATTTATTTCCACTTTTCTTACTACTGATTTGATTAATAGTAGTAGTCAAATGTGCAATAACAAAAATACCTAGTAGGACAGTGACATTCTCTAACAGGACACGTATTTCTAACCAAAATTCACAACCTTTAACGCGCCAATAACTGAAATTACAATCACGAAGTAATGAAAGTATTAAAAAACAAACGACAACTAGATAATCAGCCAGACGAAATAAATAACTGTTATATGAAAATGTTTTATGATTAGGATTATTATTATTATTATTATTGAGTATGACGAGTTGATCGTGTATAATCACAGGAATAGAATATATGAATCCAACCGTTAACATACATAAACCAAGAATAAGACTTAATGCCTTCAAACAACCATAACTATCTGCTAATAATAATAATGGCCATGTGGAATTAATTTCGGTCAGCTGGATATCTTCATCCAACTGGAACAATTCTACAGGAATACAAAAGATACCCAACAAACTAATTGACACAGACATAATGCCTAAACCAAAAGCATACAATTACTATACGGTTTCGACTGAAGTTGAGAAGTTAACAAACTACTACTACTACTAGAATGATTGTTAGTAGTATTATCAGTAGTATTGGCATTGCCATCACACATGCTATTTACGCCTAATAAACGAAAGTAAATTCCAATAGTAGTAAGACATCTTAAGCCAACACGAGCACGTAAACACTTTGAATAGCCTAAACGCTTTTCGACACCAAATATATAGGCTATGTAGATTTGACTGAGTAGGATACTAGCCAATGATAAACGCGTGAAAAAACGACTTGTAATGCCAGTTGATGCTACGAGACCTATGCCAATCTAAGACGAAATACAAAAAAAAGAAGTACAACAAAAAAAAGGCGGCAACAAAACACATGTGATATGGTGAATGTGAATACACAATTTTTATGCATTAAAAAAATATATTACTGCCAAGATTTATAAGTTAGCGTATACATGTCGATTGATAGGAAGCGACATCCGGCTATCAACCGAGGGACGTGTGTACTGCTCATCAGTTCGCTCCGTCCTTCTCTATGCCTCTGAAACATGGCCAATACGAGTTGAAGACATGAAAAGGTTGACTGTTTTTGATCATAGATGTCTATGATCTCTGTCTCACGTTAGGTGGTTTAGTTCTATGTTGAATCCAGACAGATAGATAGGAAGCGATATGAACACGAAATAACCTCGTTGAGAATTTTACGTCTCATTGTTTAACCATTGAGACACCTAATCACCAACCAATCAGAACAGTTTATTGTCCTGTGATCTAGCCGACTTTTGTTAGTGTGCTTAAAAATCTTTAAATGTAATATAATACAAATAAAAATTTAATAGCGATCCATTGCCGATTCTGTTGTCTTCTACCGTTATAAGCTGACTTCTGGTTAATCGGCTTATAGCAACTTGGTTCTCAACCAGTGTCTGTTCAAGGTTACGAGTGAGTAATTCACCGAATTCATCAGCTCTCAACGAATAAGTGTGACTAAATACTCTGATATTCAAGTGTGTTGGTTTCCATGGTTTTGCTTTGATTGGTTACAGGATTTTAAAGATGAGCTGACGTCGATTAACAAAACAATGTAAACGCTGAGAGTACTGGGTAGCTGTTTTGAGTCCTGGTTCGGGACTTTCTAGCAAGACACTTACTTAATGGTCTACGAGCTCGCCTCGTAACCGCAAGGTACTGGCGGCGGGTGCTTTCTGGTGATGCCAGCTCATAATGAAATCCTGATACATGAAAAGTCTGTGCCAAACTGACTTCAAAGCCAAACGACATTCTGAAATGAAAATACTGACAAACGTATTTATTGTCCATTTGTTCTAGATAATAAAGGATAATCCCCATCCAATGAAAACAAAATACGTAGTTCAGCGAAGAGTCGCTTTTCAGCGGCGAACTCATTTTCTTCGCTGTACAATCCCAAAATATATATGCTATTTTGTATGTATGTGTACATTAAGTTTGCCAAACAAAAAGAGACAATTGGTTATGGTTATTTTAACTAAACAGGAGAAGGTTGGTAATACAAGTCAAGAAAATTAGAAGTTAACGAAACTAGGGTAGTAACAAAGGTGATGAGTTGTCACAGACAGTTGTTAAAATGAAGTTATGTAGTAATAATAATATGAATAGTTTGATGAGTGAGTTTTACTCAGGATGCACATAGAAACAAAGTAGATAATACGAAATTACGTAAGAGATCTAAATGAATACAAGAATTCTAAGCAATTAAAGAACAGGCAAAGAGACAAAATTAAGTCATTAAAATAAAAATAGAAAACTCAAAACAAATCAAAACATTGTTACCATGAGCGTAGAATAGCGCTGAAGCTCTGACCATTCACATAGAAAAACCGGAGCAGTGCATACAAAAGAGGATTACTCAACCACTTCAACTGTCATAGTAACAACTTTTTTCGTTTTGATTTGATTTGAGTATTTTTATTTCGATGACTTAATTTTGTCTCTTTGCCTATTCTTTAATTGCTTAGAATTCTTGTATTCACTTAGATCTCTTACGTAATTTCGTATTATCTACTTTGTTTCTATGTGCATCCTGAGTAAAACTCACTCATCAAACTATTCATATTATTATTACTACATAACTTCATTTTAACAACTGCCTGTGACAACTCATCACCTTTGTTACTACCCTAGTTTCGTTAACTTCTAATTTTCTTGACTTGTATTACCAACCTTCACCTGTTTAGTTAAAATAACCATAACCAATTGTCTCTTTTTGTTTGGCAAACTTAATGTACACATACATACAAAATAACCCACATATATATTTGCGATTGTATAGCTAAGAAAATGAATTCGCCGCTGAAAAGCGACTCTTCGCTGATCTACGTGTTTTGTTTTCATATATAAAGGAAACGAAACTCGTTAATGTAAGCAACCTCTCTGACAGTTTTCAAAGGAAACTACTATGGAGGAATTTCACCTCATCGAACTGTGTAAATTCCGAAGTGTGAATTCGAATTAAACATGCGCAAACCAGTTGCCCCTAAGTAGTTAAGCAAGAATAACGGCGTGGTTTGAACTGATTTGATTCTCTGAGCCAAGTTAGAACCAGTGTATCGCTGACGAGTTCGAACCTAAATACGCGAAACGCCACTTTGGTGTTTAAATCGCTTCCATAATCTGGTTGGCTAGCAAGTACTATAGGTTTATTATATGAGTGGTACACAACTATGATTCAACTACATCAATCGTTAGTATATAATTTTATGCTTCCAAATATGCTCGCTTCCACGATGATGACAACATTTATGATATCAAGTAGATTGTATCAAGTGATCTAAACAAATTTTGTTCCTTAATAGTAGTAACTGCGCAAATTGTTAATTGCAAATTTCACTGACTGTCGACATGATTATTACAAGTTTGATTTTCATCAGGAGTATCATATAACGAGCATGCAAAACGTGGAAGATATGAAGAACCTTAGCTATCTTTGATTATAGGAGTTTGTCTGTCTGTCTGTCTGTTTTCGACATAGAACATTGCACATATGTGCGACAGTTCAAGTCACCACACTCCCTCCATGTAGCACACAAAGCAAGAGAAGAAATGCATAATAGAGACAGTAAACAGAGGTGTGAGACAAAGGAATAGTAGTAACGAAGAACAAAACAGTTTCATTGGAGATCATAAGTCACAAGGAGTGGATGCATCTGCGTTAGCCACCGAGAACGATTTTGAGCCATGTCACCATTATTTTCTAACCATTGGGTTTTACCGTCCCGAGGACCCCAACCAGTCAGGAAGTCTACACCTTCCTACGTGGCTTAGACCAACTGTTGTGGATTTCATTGACTGGTGTCATGCATTTGTTTGACCTCCACTAGCTCTTTTCCAGCCTGACCCTATATCAGCTAGCATTGCCCGTTGTCGAGGTAAGCGATGACTAGGTATACGTAACACATGTCCTAACCATCTCAGTCCATTTAACTTCACAACGTCATCGATTGATTTCCACTGCTTACGTAGAACTCGACGCCTAACCTCAATATTGGTCACCTTATTATGCCACTTCACACGGGAAATAGAGCGCAGGCACCTATGATCAAAGACAGCTAGCTAATCTTTTCATGTCTTCCACTCTCATAGGAGTTTGCATTTTATCACCTCTGTTAAATGGTATAAATGTGGTGAGTAATATTGAGGTTAGTCATCGAGTGTGTTAGGTAAGGAGGGAGAATTCCATCGATAAGGATGTGAAGATAGATTGATTGAGATGACTAGGGCACATGTCGCACATGCCGAGTCATTGCCTTCCTCGGTGAGGAATGTTTATAACCGACACTGGATCAGGTTGGAAAAGAGTTAGAGGTGGTAGTCAAATCAAAACCTCGCCTCAGTGTCCATGATATCTTTGACAGTTAGTTTGAGTCAACCAGTCACATAGGGGTGTGTGTAGGCTGACTGCTCGGCAGCTGGTTGAGGTCCTACTACGGGGGATGGTAAAAACCCAGTGAAGCCTGTGAAGAAAATTGGTGATATGGCTTGAAATCCTCATCAGTAGGGCTCCAATGCATTCACTCCTTTTGTGATCTCCTATTCCTATGAAAACCCTACTGGTTTCTTTTGTTTTCCCTTTAAATTTCCACTAATATTATGATCCTTTCGAATCGCTAATTATTCTGTCTCTGCAAGCCACATGAAGTTTGGCATCTGAACTGCTACACTCCTCTGCTGAAACGCCGTCAGCCAGTTAGTTAAGTAGCCATCACCCAACAAATCATGTAGAATTGTGCTTAGTAACCACTTGGTGTTCTAGAAGGTGTAAGATTATAGTGACGTACAGTTCTTCAGTTATTCTGCACCATAATCCTTTCACAATGCACTTGATGATAACTAACCATTCAGCAGTACATAAAAAGAGAGTACATTGTATGTACTGATCACCTTTCATCAGCTGAAATGGCGAAAACTCCACCAGGTATATGCCGACAACGTCTCTCATACCTGGCCAGTACGTGCTTTGTAGTAGGACATCGCTCGGTTCAGCAACACTTGTGTGCTTCCGATGTGGTTGTGTTCTCTGAGCTGGATAGTTGATTTGCGAAGCTTTCATCACCCTACTAGGTGACATCTTCAGCGCATACTTCAATTTATTGAAGTGAGCTTTTAGATTTCCCCACGAGTTTATTAGTCATCTCTCCTGGCCAGTGACCTTGGATGTGATTGGTTGTTTTTGTGTGTTTTCACACCTTCTAGGTTACTTGTATTGGAACTGATAGTTTCTTTGACTTGAACTCTGACCCTTTGTGTGTGAAGTTTCTCTCTTATTGGTTGATAAATTTTGTTTATCTCGATGTGTCCATTGATTGATGATTCACTGGAATGCCAAGCAGCCGTCTAAAAATTATCTAGCATTCTTGTTATTCCCTCTGTCTAATATTTGAACGTTGTCCCAGTCGAATTGATGTCCATGGTTGTCTGTATGTAGTGATATGAGGGAGTGAATATCATGTCTTTTGACGGTTAGCTTATGTTCATGGATACGAAGACGAAGGGGACGTCCACATTCGCGAATGTAGTGTTTTTCGCAGTTGTTACAATTTATTTTGTAGGTGATGTTGGTTTTATCTTCTTTCGCTGTTGGGTCTTTTGGTTGACATAGAATTGAGTGAAGTGACTTTGTTGGTTTGTGTACGACGTCAATTCCTAGAGGTTTGAAGAGTCTTGTAGTGATTTCTGAGATATCCTTTATGTATGATAAGGCGATTTTCTTTGTGCTTTCCTTGGGGGATTTTCGTTTGATGTCTGTCTGTCTGGATTTATCATAGAACTTGGCACTGAA